GGTACCTTGTCGATATGTTGTACATTTGCTGTTATATTAAAGTTTTTCTTCATTACCCATTCAAGCCGTCTCCAGCCATTATTAGTCTCAAAGTGGGTTCCTCGTCATCGATGTTAAAAGTACTTTTACAGCCTTTCTCATTTTCTTCAATACCTCTTTGTCGTTTAAACTATAACTACAACTGCTTTTTGAGTATTATACGGCTGCACCACACTTCAAAGGTCTTACTTAATCTGGTTCTTCCATTCTTGAGTTAGACCAATCTTCAAATTTTTTTTAGTGCAAAGAAACCATATAACAACTGTCCATTACAAAGTTCAAACCTACGATGTCTAGAATATCAATGAAATTAGCTTGAGGTTATTTACCTCTCTGCTGTTTGAGAAAAAAAAAAAAATAGTTTCGGTTGCAGCGAAAATGAATTATGGTCATAGAATGACTTACATAGAGTAGTTAAATGCCTAAAAATGTAACCTTGATCCATTAAATATTACTGTTTATATTATTACCAGACGGATCATTCGAAACATAAGATCCATTTTGAAAGTACGATGCATCTATAGATTAGTTTACTGTTTACGGACGAATCAAATACAAAACTTTAAAGATCATGTTGGAGGAATCAACGACTTTGGTTGATTGTATATAAAAACAAGCATTTTTTTCCCACTGGCCAGTGTGAGTTTGTATTGGAATATTGCTACGTTACATGCTAGCATTTCTGTTGTGGTAATTAAATTTCCTTTCTATTTTAAAATGAGAAACAGTATTTCTATTTAACAACAACAACAAAATAACAATTCAAAAGCTGCCTACCTGATTTACTAAAGATGAGAACCCTAACCACAGGGCCTCAGATAAAGGAATACCTGTTGCTTGGTTCGTCTTGGCAACGGGACAGTGGCTTTTGTGGATCGAAGACAGCGCCCTCTTGTGGTAGTTGTCAGGAGAAAAGTTTTGGCAGAAGTAGGTGGCTAAAGAAGCTCCGACCATCGAGATAATAATGAACATCCATAAGAACGTATCGAAAGGAGAAAGAAACGCCAACAATGAATTGGAAATATGCGAGTTTCTTCTAGAAAGCAGAATTGTTTGACCCAGGTCGAAAAACGGTTTGGTAAAAGTGATAACCTTCTCGCGCTCGTGGCTAATCGTGAATGAAGTCACAGCGATATCCGCCCTCTATAAAATATGGAAAATGAGGAAATCGTCACAGGTAAGTAATAATATAAACTCACCGTTTCCCATAAACTGTACGCACTATAAAACCTGGGTATTCATTTAAAATGTTTTTAAATGAAGAAATTCAGAATTATAGGACTGTGCGGGAATCGTAAGCTCGTGACGAAGGTCATGGAGATTCTGAACTCCTACAAGATTTTAAAGTAATTAGAATATATTGATGATAATATGGCTACATATATCGAGCGCTAGACGATTGTGAGAATTATTTCTCAAATTGCAGCTCATCTACAGATAGTTAGATAATGAAAAAAAAAAGGGTTAAATGTTACATTACTTACGTCATCAACTAACTCCTTTACTAGTCCGTTCCATCGTTTGGTAACCGGATGTTTACGACCGTACTGTGTAACTTCGTATACTGTTACATTACTTACGTCATCAACTAACTCCTTTACTAGTCCGTTCCATCGTTTGGTAACCGGATGTTTACGACCGTACTGTGTAACTTCGTATACTGTTACATTACTTACGTCATCAACTAACTCCTTTACTAGTCCGTTCCATCGTTTGGTAACCGGATGTTTACGACCGTACTGTGTAACTTCGTATACAGTATACCGGAAGTTGAAGATTTTTTGGAGTTTCGTAAGAAGGTCCATACAGTATCCTACGTATTGTTGGCTCTGAGGATCTTTTGGGTCGTAATCTTGATTTTTCATGACGAACGGGGGTTCCTTTTGAACAGAAATGGTTCGTAAGGCAAAAGAGTAAAGTCTGTTATACTTCTTAACACGGTATTTGACTATTCAGTAAATCCACTACACTACCGACCTTATTATTAACATCAGCATCTTTCGCTTACAGTTTCAAGTTATCTGGTACAGCATATTCGAAGCATAGCTTATTGATACGGAGCTCTCGAGGGCACGTGTTCGCCCAGTGGTAGAGTTCTGAATTCTGAGTTGGTGAGCCGGGTTCAAATCTACGCGATAACACAAAATATTCCCCGTACTATAAGTAGTGGATGTATCATAATAGTGAAAGTCAGTTCCTTAGTGTGGATGGTTGGTGGGGTGCTGCTGAGGCTTGGCATGGTCTGGTAGTTAGAGAGCACGAGTCACAATCGGCGGATCGCGGATTCGAATCGTGTTACCGAATTTACTCGTGCGTGGAAACGTTATAATGGTTCGATCAATCCAACTTTTCGTTAGTAAAAAGCATCCCAAGAGTTGGTGGTGGTTTTGACTTCCCTCTAAACTATCACTTCTAAATTAGGGACGGCTAGTGCAGATAGCCCTCGAGTAACGTTGCGTGAAGTTCAAGTAAACGAATACTAATAAAAAAACAACAAGGTTGCTGCTGACTAGCTTATTTACATTTTGCCAACATTAGTTCAAAATTAGAATTGGCGACAGATAGTCTTAATAGCTTTACCATATATACAATGTGCAGATAAAACTTGTTTATATAAATACATCCACAATTTTTTTATAAGGCACGGTTAACCATACAGACAACGGAAACCTAACTAAGTTTGGAAATTCGTATATATTTAATGCATTACATAATATTTTGCTTATAATATCTAGGACATTTCTTAATCAGTACACAGGCCCGGAATGGCCAGGTGGTTAGGGCGCTCGATTCGCAATCTGAGGGTTGCGGGTTCGAATCCCCGTCACACCAAACATGCTCACCCTTTCAGCCGTGGGGCGTTGTAAAGTGACGGTAAATCCAATTCGTTAGTAAAAGAGTAGCCTAATAGTTGGCGGTGGGTGGTGATGACTAGCTGCCTTTCCTCAAGTCTTTCACCGCTAAATTAGGGATGGTTAGCGCATATAGCCCTCGTGTAGCTTCGCGCGAATTTCTAAAACAAACAAGCCAACTTAGCCAAGGCAAGAAAATCGCGATTGAGACATGAAAATTTAAAAGAAAAACTATAACAGTCGTCAGAATTCCACAATGGAATATGCATACCCAACTAGAATGTTCGGGAATATTTTATTCCCTTTCGCCTTGCTCACGAAAGTCTTTTTAAAATTTCAAAGGTGTTAATTATGATTATTGTAATGTTAAATCAATTCTAATTTTGAGTTGCGAAAACGTCTGGTAGGCTGAGGCAAGGTTCGCAAAATTTGGGACGACTAGCGAAAATAGCCCTCGTGTAGCTTTGCGCAAAATTCAATACAAACCAAAGTTATAAGTACAATCGGCTCCGTCGTAAAATCTGTCGATTATATTAACTTACTAGACCACCGTGACCCGTTGGGTCACCCACTATTCAGACGTTATGAAGAATTTAAGCTTATTTCAAAATTGCACCGAAATGAAGGTTTATTTTGAGATAATTAAATATTTCAATCCATTCGTTTTATTCATAATTCCAGAAAATATATTTGATTATTGATCTGGAATAAAAGGAAAGACCACTTCATTTTTCAAAAAAGTGAAGTAAGAAGTTTCGTAAAGAGCGCGAACGGTAGTGTGAATGATTTTTTTGACTGAGAAAATAAGCAAACAAACAATCTCAGAGTTTTAGTAGTATATAGATAGATTCTTCAAGATTTTGTTTTTGTCATCTTACGCCTTTTAATGTGCCCCCCAGTGACACAGCGGTATGTCTGTGGACTTACAACGCTAGAAACTGGGTTTCGATACCCGTGGTGGGCAGAGCACAAATAGCCCATTGTGTAGCTTTGTGCTTAATTCCAAACAAACAAATCCTTTTAATGAAGATGGGAATATTGACAGGGAAATAATCAAATTGCCAATGCTCGGCAAGAGGTTTTCGTTTATAAAAATTTTTTATTGTTCTCCACTTGATTTTTATTTTATTACCACGTCTCCATAGTTACTATTTGCAAATAGTCAATAATATTGTAGGTCTATTTTATTGTTGTTTTTTCTATGAGCTGTTATAACACATTTTCATCTCATCATTTAATTTCTGTTGTGCATATATTGTTGTATAGAAGATATTTTAAAGTGATTCATCAGTTGGAAAACGAATAGATAGATAGATAAATTTTCATAAAAGTGACCCAAAAAACGGGGCTAACTCGGTAACCTGTGGCCCGATTTTAACTAAACTTGTTTTATTCTGTTTCTATTCTCATTTCGTTACAAATATGGCGCTATTGTGCGCCGTGTTTTGCTGTATTTAATTACAGACAAGCACACACAAACAATCTCAGCGTTTTAGTAGTATATAGATATCACTTTGTCCGGAATGTCCATGCTGATTCGAAATCATCAAGTCATTTTTTACACGCCCATGGGACTGGGTGACGATTAATCTCCTCACAACTATAGGCTACTAGTTTAATAAACTTTACTGGTTATTTGCCACGCAATTAAAACCCCCCCTCGAATATGGTAGAGAGTAAACCTCTCATAACTGTCTGTGTCATTATTAGACTTCAAAGTCGTCAGACAACTTTAGCCACACAATAAAACCCCCAACTTTAGTAGGAACTAAGCCTCTAACTGTGCCATTATTAGATTTGCTACTTTAGTTTCCAGTTGTTGTTGTTTTTTCAGATATTCGCGCAGATACCTATAGACTTCCTGAATTGATAGAATAGAAGAATGACAGATAGATAACAGCGCCCACTGTCAAGTATTTCATAGAATAGTCGGATTTGATTTGTAAAATACTCAATACCCTATGGTGTGGAGTGCAATTTTGCTTTCACGGGACGTGAACCATGGACCAACGGATTCACAGTTCAGCACGCTAATCACTAGACCACGCCCACTACTTTTCAGATAATTTTATTCGCATTGAGAATAACTCCAGATATGAAAAAAAAAACTTGGAAGGTTTGTTTGTTTGTTTTGAATTTCACGCAAAGCTACACGAGG